CATCGGGCGTTCCCGGGGAGCGGGGGGGGCGGTCCCGGGGGGTACCGGCTGCGGCCTCGGTGGTCCCGGAGTACAAGCGGGGCAGCCCCAGGAGGTCCCCGGGAGGGGCCCAGGGTGGGGAGCAGAGGGGTACCCCCGGGGGGTACCAGGGCCAGCCTCGGGTCTCTCGGGGAGAGCCCCGGGGGGGTCCCAAGGGGGCAGCCCCCCTCCCCCCCCGGCAGCACATGTCCCCCGGGCCGGGGTCCCCAGCAGCCAGGCCTGGCCAGCTCTGCCCCTGCCCCCGGGGGGGCTGGGGGCCGCTGCCTCCCCCGTCCCATGCCCCCTGCGCCGCTGCCCCCCTGTCCAGACACGAGACACCACACAGCCTCAGGGCTCGTTTAATGGTGTGACAGGGACAGGGCAGGGGACAACGACCGTGTCGCCAGCTCGGGGTGGGGGGTCCCCCCGGTGTCACTTCTTCTGGGGCAGCATCCCCCCAGCATCCTTCTCCCCACGTGACATGTCGGTGTCTGGGGGGATGGCGACGTTGACGAGGACCAGGGACGTCTGCTCGGCCGGGGGGTCACCCTCCTCCAGCGGGTGGTGGAAAGCCACGAGGAGCTGGTAAAGGGCCGAGCCCAGGGCGGCCCCCAGCAGAGGTGCCACCACCGGCACCCACCACCACCCATTGCCCCTGCTGGAGATGGGGCATGGTGGGCAGGGGGTCACCCCTGCCACCCCCCACCTCGCCTCCTTCCCTCTACCCACCTGAAGACCTCTGCGCCCCAACCTGCGATGTAGGTGAAGAGCCGGGGCCCAAAATCCCGCGCGGGGTTCATGGGGCAGCCGCAGTTGGAGCCCATGGAGACCTCGATGGAGAACACCAGCAGGGCCACGGACACCGGCTCCAGGCCCTTCGGGACACCCTTGTTCCGGGTGTCCAGAATGGCCAGGATGCCCATGATCAGCAGCGCTGTGCCCATCACCTGTGGGGCTGGCAGGGAAGCTCAGCGCCGCAGGGACCGGCACCGCCGGAGGGGTCTGAGGGGAGCCGATACCGGCAACCCACCTGGTCCAAGAAGCCGTTGGAGAGGGAGAGATAGTCAGCAGGGTAGGTGGCAAAGATGGAGGCCGTTTCCCAGGGGCCAGAGGTGGTGAGGGTCCCGTTGCTATAGTGCTGGATGGCATCTGCGGAGCAGAGGCAGAGCCTGTCTGCGAGCCCAGACACCCCGGCACAACCGCGGTGTTCCCCCGCCAGGCACCTGCCCACCTCCCCGTACCATAGTAGAGGGCGTAGACGGCTCCGGCAGATATGAAAGCTCCCGAGGTCTGCACGGCCACGAAGATGGGAAGCTTCCACCAGGGAAACTGCTCCAGCAGGCACATGGTGAGGGAGAACGCGGGGTTCAGGTGGGCCCCTGCAATGGAGCAGGGAGAGCGGCTGGGATTGGAGGGTTCTGGGGAATCTGGAGCTGGGGGAAGGCGGGACCTGAGGCCACCTCCCCAGTCTCACCAGAGACTCCCCCTGCCATGTAGATGGCCACCATGACTGCCAGGGCGCCTGCCAGGTAGGCGGTGAGGATGTTCCCCTTCATCCCGGAGCTGGTGACCATCTGCGCCGAGCCGCTCAGGGTGATCAGCTAGAGAAGAGGGACATGGCTCCACTGTGGCCCCCCCTGCTCCCTAAGGGCTTCTGCTCCACCGCACTGCAGCCACTGGCAGGATTAGCTCTGATCCCAGGCAGCAGAAGGGCAGCAAGGCAAGGGCTGCTCTGGTGCCTCTGGCTGCATTGCCTCCATGGTTTTCTCCCCCACCCCCTGGGCTCCAGCTTTGGGCACCAGACGGGGTACAGGCAGGGAGGCAGTTACTGATCTTGCTTGTGGTTTTGACAGCAAAGTAAACAAATCATCAACAATTAAGTAATCTGCTTCCCTGGGGAGACAGTGGGGAAGGGGTGCCACTGGTGCGATTGTGGCATCATCATTTGCCATCGCGGGATGCAGCCCAAATGCCAAGTGTGACTCCGGAGCCCCAACTTTGCCTGCTCCAGGGTGGTAGGCATCAAGGCATGTGCTGCCCAGCCCTCAGGGACCACATGGCAGTGCCGGTGCCCTTATTGTGCTGGAGCTGCTGCAGTGGAGGGTGTACCACACTGCAGGAACAGGGTCTAAGCGGGAGGCCAGGCAGCGTCAAGTCTCTCGGTGAGCGTGGTGCAGCCCCAAACCCCCCCACCCCTGGCAAGGGACAGGCAGGAGAGCCCTGGGACTCCCAGCGCCTGCCACCACCCCCACAGTCAGCCCTGGCCCACCCGTGTGCCCCGCTCACAATAAGCACGAAGACAGCCAGCAGCTCAGCCAGGCATTCCCGCACCAGCTGGTTCCGGATGTGGAGCAGAGCCTGGGCCCTCTTCAAGAAGGAAGTGGTGGCCATAGGGCCGGCTAGGAACGGGCAGCGGCAACAGCAGCGTCAGTGTCTCCGTCCTGGCACGATTTTATGAGCCCCGGGGCTGGGGTGGGTGATAACACGCAGACTTTAAACCAATCCAGGGCCACACCACAGGGAGACGCCTGGCAGGGACCAGAGTTCCACGTAGGGCTGGGGCCACCGCTACCTCGTGACGCTGGCATCCTCCAGTAGGACCAGACCTGGCGGGAGCCCCCCGAGGGTCCCCGAGCGAGACCTCGCTCAGGTGAGCTGGCACTGGTGTTTCCTGTCCAGGGACCCCCCCTATTTCCCTGCCAGATCCCTGCCCAAGCCACAACCACAGGCAGTGCTAATGAAGAGGCCTTTGGAAAGCCTCCCAGGATGGGCTGTCGAGAGTGGCCCAGGGGAGTTGTTAGCACAGCACAGGGCAGGCAGTGAAATGGGAGAAGGAGGCGGGCAGGGAGCAGTGTGGGCATGGAGCCAGGGCAGAGAAGCCGGGCAGCTGCCTGCACCCGTGGGGCAGCCCCCAGGAGCCACCCCGGCAGCTGTGCGGGGCTCTGTCTCCGAACTGGGGAGGTTCCAGCTTGAAGGAGCCTGGCAGGTCACTGTTAGCATAAAGACTTTATTGCTCTGTACACATGCACGCACACACACACTCAGCCCCCACAGGGGTCCCTGAAGATCCACAGCATCCCAGAAGACAGGCAGCCCCCAGCCCTGGTGCCAGCCCCCAGCAGGATCTGATGCATCTGCAACAAAAACAGACGGTGAGAAGAGGCTGCTGCCCACTGCCCACCCTGGATGGAGCCAGCGGCCTGAGCCCCAAGCCAGCGTCTGTCCCCATGGCCCTGGGGTCCCCCTACCCTGTGATGGGGTCCCATCACACCTACAGGGTGCTCAGCCTGGGGGGGCACAGCTACCAGCTTGAGAACCAGCGTCGGAAGAAGCTGCCCAGCACGGACGAAGGGTCGCTCAGGTTGGGAGCGTGGAGCTCGTCTTGCCGTGGCCACGTGTCCACGAACTGTGCCAGCTCCCCTGGGAAAGCAGGGAGAGCTTGCTCAGAGGGGACCTGGCCCGCTCCCCTTGCCTTCCTCAGCACCCCACTCACGGTCATCCATGTTGACCACCTCCTCCCGGTAGTCCTTGCTCTGTCCGTCCTCCTTGGTGGTGGTGATGAAGGCCTGGTCCCCCCTCCGGCGGGTCACCGTTGTCTCCTGGCGGCCCTGGCTGTCCTGCACGGTCCGGCGCTCCTCCACCACCTGTGCAGAGCACCGAGCCCTGAGGAATGCCACCACCCCAGGCTCTGCTCCTTGCACCAGGGACAGTGTTCCCAGGTCACACACAGGCCACCCACAGGCCATCGCTGCACCTGCAGGGGACACTCACCCCGTTGGGGAGAGTCACTTTGGTGACGGAGACACTCTGGAAGTAAGAGTGGGACGTGGGCTCGTTGGGTCTCAGGATGGTCCCCAACCCTGTGGAGGAGACCTGGGAGTCCAGGTCTGCAGGGGAGATGAAAGACAGTGACAGCAGTGTGGGGACACACCCCAAGGGCTGTAGCAGTATGAGCTGGTAAAGTGGGGAAGGCAGAGACCCTGCAGCCCTGCTTCTGGCACCCAACCCACCTTGGTCTTCCTTGAGGCTGGGAGGAGCCAAGTGAGCATCTTCCACCTGCAAGGCAAAGCCACATGCTGGTGATGGGGAGGCAAAGCGTGACACTGCAACAGCAGGCTCCAATGGCCGCCATGACTGAGCCTGCGTGAGGCAGAGCCCTCACCTACCCCCAGGAAGGGTCTCCAGGGCCGGGCTGGCTCACTGGCGTGCTCAGAAACTCCTGGGGATGCACCGGGAGCAGGACCGTCTGGGTGCTTCAGCATGGAGTCCCGCAGCTGCCGCCCCGTGCTGCCCTCGCTGGGGCCGGGCAGAGGGGGCTCTGCAGGGTGGGGGACCAAAGGGAGCCGGGTCAGGCCGGGCCGCCCAGGGGGCTCCGCATCGGCCTCCAGGGCCCTGCTCAGCCCCCGGTGGGGGCAGCCCCTTCCCATCCCCACCGAAGGGCTGCGGGGGCCCAGCCCAGGCCCCCCCGAAGACGCCCAGGAGCTCGCCCACGTCCCGGAACAGCTCCTCGAAGGCACCGCGGGATCCGCCAGGGCTGAAACCGAAGGCGAAGTCCTGGGGGGGCTGTGCCAGGGACGGGCCGTCCTCCTCCTCCTCCTCCTCCTCCTCGTCCCACGCCGTGCCGCCGAAGAGCGGGTCCCGGGGCCTGTGGGACCGCGGCGCTGAGACACCCGGGAGGACAACCGGGGGCCGGGACAGGACCCGCGGGACAACAGGGGGCTAGGGAGCGGGGGGAACCGGGACA